TCCTTGGTGCATATTTCCCTTGTATAAATCAAAATGATCCTAGATTACACATGGTACATATACTTGTATGTTGGGTATACAATCTACCAATATCATGCCAACTTACTTCAATTGTCTATATATATGTCATCTTCTCACATGTTCATATGTTCCCTTTATTGATTATTACTCCCATTGTGTTAGACTATAATGTTACCTCACAAGATACCTAGTTGTTCTATTTTACATTTTATATGTACTTACTTAGAATATGTATCCGTACTTAAGTTGAATGCGGCCACGTTTTCCCTTGGTTCCACTTTCATGTATACCTTGTATTGGATATTAGTTAGTGAGTATTTGGCTACCATATAGAGTTTGAATCTCTTGGCCGAATGTTACAGGTCTTCACTTGATATGTGCTTCAATTATAGATGTCAAAATGCTTACTGAGTCATATAAGCTCCTAAGTATTACGTTGGTGTCACATTTGATTCACATGTTCTTGTTAATATCGTAAGTCCATATTCATATGTCTTCTACTAGTGGTTCATAGTTCCGAATCTCAACAATGATTATGACCACAAAAACATCAATCTCAAAAGAGTTATGATCACCAAAAGTACAATCTCAAAGGAGTTATGAACATCAAAACAACAATCTCAAAGATTAAAGAATCTATGTGACGCAATCTGTATAATTATGGGTGGCAGCCCAGGGGAAAATGCCTAGCATGGGTCGGTCCCAATTGGAATAGAAGGGTGGCAGCTCAGGGGCGAAAGCCTAGCATAGGCCGATCCCAATTGGTATTGAAGGGTTGCAGCTTAGGGGATACATCCTAGCATGGGCCAATCCCAATTTGTGGAATTATGAGGACAACATCCCAGGGGTTAAAATGCCTAGCATGGGTCATCCTCTTCTACCGTTGATTAGCTGGTCAATAGTATCATATGTCTTATAATCATTATAATGCACAAAAAAGTAAAGAAAATAATGTAACATACACGATTCTACAAGTATAAGCAGGGGTGGTCTCTACTCCTTATCTATTGGTATTTGGTTTCACTTGAGCTCTCATTTTACATTCGGGTGTATCATGCCTTACATATTCAGTACATTCTTTCGTACTGACGTCCCTTATTGGGGATGTTGCATTTCATGCTGCAGGTACATGTACTCAACTAGTAGATCTCCCCAATAGAAACACATGATGCTCAACGGTTGTTGGTGAGCTCTAGGTTGATTCGGGGCTTTGCCGAGTCTTTACTATACCTATTTTCATAGTGGTACCATCATGGATTCCAGTAGATGCTTTGTAGACATTGTAAAACTATCATCTGTATTCATAGTTTCACTTGTCACAAGTATCGGTTCAACTAGTCAACATGTGTTGTATATGAAGCTTCTCATCAGTAAATCTGCCTGCATAGTAGTTTACTTTCTCATCATAGGTCACTTGTAAAACATGTGTACATATGGTACTTTTCCGGCTCACCTAGGGTTGGGGTGTGACATTCATCAACAATCTATACACAAGGTAATACTACTAAATTCATCTCCAAATACGAAAAAAGTCTGATTCGAGCCATACATCTATAATAATAAAATATTATTAATGAGTCAAATAAAGTAATTGAATATGTAGTGAATCTTAGAGTTCAAAGAAAGGTCCATAACAAATAAATAAGCTTGATGCCCACACGAACAAGTGTGGGGCTCATCAAGAATTTCCAACTTGTAAGTTCTAGTTAATAAAATATTTACCAACATTACTTGTATTTTTTTGTAAAATATATTGGGGAGTGAAACACTAGTTCAATGAGTAATAATGCTTAACCTCAACCATTTTTAATGGGGATAAGACAGTAAGCATACAATTAATATAATAAAAAAATATCTTGAAATGATACTCCCTTCAAGAAATGGTAACAATAAGTAGTACAGTTGTTTCATGTAAAAAATTCAAGTAACATTTTAGTAATAAACTCTGTAGCACCCCGTTATTTAAAAGATCTAAAATTATAAAGAACCATTTTTGGAAAAGAATAAAAATCTGAAATTTGTCAAGTTATGTTAAGTATAAGTTTTGGTCAACTTTAAATGACCATAACTCCTAGCACAAATGAGTTACGTCGGATACAAGATACCATATGAAAGGTCTTTGAATTATCTTTCCAACGCCGATGATTTTTCTCATTTTTGAGTTTGTATGAGGGAGATATGTTCGTTTGAAGTCGGGCTGTCTGGATAAGGAAAGTCAAAACCGGATTTTAGAAGGGTATTTTGGTCTTTTCATTACCCAATTAGCTTAATTCGTTTTTGGTCATTACTTTGGGGTCTAAACTGAATTGGTTCAGTTTACACACTAAAATTATATGCTAGGGTTTTATAGAAAAGAACTCAAGAGGAGAAAAGAAGAGAAAGGTCAAGATTCGTCGATTTATTGAGGAAGTGATTGCGGATTTCACCAAGGATTCAATCCTAAGAGGTATGTAAGTTCACATAGTGCTGGGTTCGTTCACCCATGCACTAAACATGTTTATTTCAGCGTGAATTCGTCCTAGAAAGATTTAAAGTTTGATGTTCTTGATGTGTTTCTTGAATTTGCTTTCGTTCTTGAATTTGGCTGAGATTGAGGAGTTCTTGAGATAATCGTGTCGATTTTTAGAGGTGCTTTGAGTTAGATTCTTGTGTACATGTAGTAGGTATATGAATATAAAGGGAAATTGAGAAAAAGAATCAAATTAAGGTCAGAAAAGAGTTGAAAAGTTCCTCAGGTTAGCCAGGGGAAATGCTGGCGCGACGCTCCACTGATGCACCAGCAGTGCGCCAGAAATGGGTCTCTGAACATAGAGGCTGATTCCCCGCACAAGCAGTGCGCCATGGTCGCCTAGCCCAACCCGTTCTTTGTCGTTTAGCCCATCTGAATCCTTCTAAAGTGTACTAACACTTCCTATCGATTCTAACTACTCTGAATGACTTCTAAACATTTAGAAATCATCCGTCAACACTAATCATAACCTTGAATCCATAAATTCAAATTCAAGGAAAGTTAAGAGCCAAGTCTAGAGAGTTCTTAGAGTCTTTTCAAAAGTCTTTTGCAAACGTTTTAAACTTGTTTTAAAGACTTGAGTAAGAGTAAGAGTTAAGTTCATTTCTTCAAAAGATTATACAGGAACTAAGTATTCCCAAGAGTAAAATGTTTTCATATTTAAACAAGAGAGGAAACATTGATTTCCAAGAGAGCTTTTAAGCTAAGTTTTGAGTAATTACCTCAAATCACAGAAACAGTTTTGTTTTAAAACATATAAGCTGAGTATATTTTGGGAGTAGTATTGAGCAACTATATATGGACGAGTTCATAATAACTCAATCTCTCCATAAACTACGTAGCCATTGTGGGTAGAAAGGATCATACTTTTTAGATGATTCCTTAGTGCTTTTCAACTTAAACTAGTGGATACACTTAGTTGAGGTGTTCTATATCTTAGCAAGTTATACGACAGTTCTGGAAGCGTGGGTGAGACGTTATATCATCACATTAGCTCTTAGTGATGGTTGTCAGTTAGAGAAACTCCACAAAATTATAATACTTTATTATATGAGTAAATTGAATTGTTATCATTGTCTAAATGATCTATACAAACTGCACCTTTAATGTTGTTTTATTTTGCATTTTAGTTGAGTATTCATGAGTTGAGTAAAGCCAAGGTAAGTGTTCTTTCCAGATTCAATTCAAGCTTATGTCATGTTTAGTTTTCCCCTCACATGCTCGTACATTCAAGGTATTGATGCCAGTTGGCCTACAACTTATTATGATGCAGATATAGGTAACCAGGATCAGCATCTAGCACCTCGTTGATCTAGTTGAGCATCTCAAAGTCAGTTGGTGAGCCTCCTTTCTTTCCGGATGATTCCCTATTTATTGATTTGGTAGTTTTAGAATGTTAGGATGATCGAGGGTCTTGTCCTGACATCTCTCGTAGTTTAGAGGCTTCATAGACAGTTAGTAGTTCATTTGTCTTCACATCGTTATTTCATATGTTAACACTTGAGTTGCCATTGTGGCTAAGTTGAATGTTTTATCTTTAAACGTTCTAAGCTATCTCTTAATCGGTTGAGTAAAGTTGCATTGAATCTTTGTATTTATGCTTTATGTCTTCTGCTGAGTAGTTAACCAGGCCAAGGGTTCGCTTGGGGCCAACAATGGTTCTCTAGTGCTAGCCACGTCCAGGGTGTAGGCTCGGGGCGTGACAAAATTGGTATTAGAGCACAAAGTTCAAGAGTCCTAGGGAGTGTATGAAGCCATTTCTGTAGAGTACTAGTTATCGGTTTGAAGCGCGCCACATCTATAATTAGGAAGCTGCAAAATTTAGGAAATTCCTTCACTTTTTTCATACTTATTTCGTGTGATAGAGTTCATCTCTATAAAGTCTCTTTATAACTCATGCTTGTGTGTGTCTTTCAGTTGATCATGCCTCCATGAAGAGTTGTCTGAGGTCGTCCTGCTAGAAGGAATAGAAGGAATGTTGATCCACAAGAACAAGAGGTACCTAATGCACTAGAAGTGCAACCCCAAGGAGAGGTCACCAATGCTTAATTTTGGGAAGTAATTCGAATGCTAAGTCAAGATGTGACCAATCAATTTGGGCAACAAAGAGGGGATCGATAGGAAGAGGCTAATACTTCGAGGATTCGTGAGTTATTGATGATGAATCCTCCAACCTTCACTGGTTCAAGCACTACTGATGATCCGGGAAATTTTGTTGAGGAATTGCAGAAGGTGTTTGAGGTTATGCACGTTGCTGATTCTGAGTGAGTGGAACTAGCTGCATATCAACTAAAGAGTGTAGTTAGGACTTGGTTTGACCAGTGGAAGAAGGGTAGAGCTGAGGGTTCACCAGTTTTGAGTTGGGCTATGTTTGAGGAATCTTTCTTGGGGAGTTCCTTTCCTCGTGAACTGAGATAAGCTAAGGTAAGGGAGTTCCTTACCCTTAAGCAGGATTTGCTAAGTGTTCGTGAGTATAGTTTGAAGTTCACCTAACTTTCACGATATGCTCCGGAGATGGTTGTGGATATAAGGGGCAGAATGAGTCTATTTGTTGCTGGGTTGTCTCATCTGTCAAGTAAGGAGGGAAAGGCAGCTCTGTTGATATCGGACATGGATATAGCAAGACTTATGGTTTATGTGCAGCAGGTTTAGGAAGATAAGCTGAGAGATAGAGAGGAATTCAGAAACAAGAAGGCTAAGAGAGGGAATGATTCCGGACAGCAAAGGAGCAATGTGAATCGTTTTTCCTTTCAACATAAGCCAAAAGGACCTGCTCCATCCTATGCTAGTGCACTTGCACCAAATAACAAAGGTGAGTATAATAGTCAAAATTCGTAGAATTTCAGAGCATCTCAACTGGCATCTCATTCAACCAGTTGGTTTCCTCTCCAGTAAGAGACAAAGGAAACAACCTCAACCTGATCGCTGTTTGTCTTACTCCAGGAATCTCTTGCGATTTTCAAATCGCTACAAAGTTAATCAAATGCTGGTTAGCATCATCACCTACTGCACCTCTGAACATACCTTTCAAATTCAGCAGCTGAATAATAGTGCTGGTGATTGTGAACTTAACACTAGGAGGTAGTGCAGGTAATACTATCGCTCCAATGGCTCCAGCTCCATCCAAATCTAAGTCATCCTCCTCATACATCTTATGATTGTATGTTGTACTCTACCCCTTGGAGCTATTGGTTTGCGGTGGGGAGGAATGATTCCATTCACTGCTATGTTCTCGTCCACTGCCCTATGTTGATTGTTCATAGTATTCAGCTGAACTGGTCTTGCGACGGTTTCAACTTCCAATCCAAATCTTAGTCTTTGTACCTCAAGTTCTTGTGCGTTCACCATTTTTCGAATTGTCTTCCTGAGTTTTGGGTCGTATGGGACTAATAGGGCTCCCTTACTTCTGGTATTTGTCATACACAATATAACTCACCTAAAAGAGACACAGACAAAGAATAAGATGTAAAATTAGGAAATCTAACTACACTAAGAATAAAAGCTAGTAAAACACTTCTGAAATGAAATTTCCTTGCAGCGGCACCAAAACTTGATACGTCCAAACTTACACCTCAATTAAGAGATATAAACAGTCGAAGTCAATTTATAGAACTTAATGTGAGTTGAGGTCGATCCCACAGAGAATTTCTTTACATAAATGATTTCACTGTCGCGTTTTACCCAAATGTTGTTATTATTTCCTTAATAAATAATTGCGGAATGTAAAATTGGGTTTAGCGTTAACGCTTTAATAACCAAAATTGCAACTAAAGTCTAATTCAACAAGTAACAAAATATCAGTTTCGAAGTTGTTTCTATAATTAACTGAAACTAGGATTGTGTTCCCCATAACGTTGCATCTAAGTTTCTTACATAATTGAGTTTCAGGCAACTTACGTCTACAAACTATATGCTAGTTAACTATATCTAATACTTCTCAGTCTAACTTAGATAATCTTTACTCAAGTCCTCTCGGTCCCAGAGTGTTACACGATTTACCCTTTCCTACAATGGTGTTAAGATTCTTTTCTCTTGAACTCGAACTTTAACTTCATTTAGTTAGATTAGTTCAGCTTTTTCCTAACTATCATTTTTCTCTCGAACAAATGACAGATACAGGCTTAAGCTAATGCGTGCACTCATTAGGATATATGAATATCCGATGTTACACCCTTAACTTACTAAGAGTAATCTCATTCGAGGATGAATGTTCCCAAGGAGGATATATTGTAACACCTCGCTTTTGGAAAGAACTAGAATTAGAAAGAAGCCTTATTTTTGGAAATAATCAAATTTGAAAAGTTTGACCAAGTTATGTTAAGTATGAGTTTTGGGTCAACTTCAAATAACCATAAATACTAGCTCAAGATGATTTAGGTGTTCTACAAGATACGTAGAAAATAACTTTGAATTATCTTTCTAACGCCGCCGAGTTTGCGCGATTTCGAGTTCGTATGAGGGAGATAAGCCAATTTTAAGTTGGGTTGTCTAGATAAGGAAAGTCAAAACCAGATTTTTGAAGGGTATTATGGTCTTTTCCCTACCCAATTATTTAATTTCATTTTTTTGGTAATTAAGATGGGGTCTAAACTGATTTGGTTCAGTTTACACTTTACAACATAGAGTTAGGGTTTTGGGAGAAGAGAAAAGAAGAGGAGAAGAAGCAAGGAATCATCAAGTTCTTGAAGCTAGGCTTGTTGATTTCATTAAGGGGTGATCCCTACGAAGTATGTGAGATCATATAGCATTGGGTTCGTTCACCCACACGCCAATCATGATTAAATTAAGCTTAATTGTGTACTTGAAAGAAAAGATTATGAGTTCTTGATGAAATTTGTTAAGTTCTTGAGGTTTCTTGTTGTTGATGTTGTTGAGATGTTTCTTGAGTTTGATTCATGGAATCAGATGTTGTTTTGAGTAGATTCTTGCATATATTGATAATGTATTCGAATCTAATTGTGTAGGTAAAGAACCAACTTCATCTAAAGGGTTTAGAGCTGAAAAACAAGCAAGGGAAAATGTCAAAAATCTGGGAAAAGGGGTGGGGCGCTGCGCTGCGCCACTCAGAGCGCCCCACCTCAGGAGTAGAAGTTTGGCCTCTGGGGTGCCGCGCCAGCCAGAACGCCCCAAGCCAGTGTCTAAAGTTTCAGCTCTGGTGCCCCACGTCACTCAGAGCGCCAGGGACATCAGGTCTTCCACCCTTTGCCACTTCTTTTCGTACGAGTTCCCTAGCAACGTACCTAAGTTTTATTTCTACACTCTAAGGTACGTATAAACAACATGAAATCATCCATAACATGAGATCATGATCCTTGAATCCATAATTCAATTCAAGGGAAGATAAGAGTCAAGTCAATAAAAGTTCATAGAGTTTCCCAAAAGTCTTTCAGAAACGTTTTAACTTTGTTTTAATACTTGAGTTTCAAGTTGATTAAAGAGTAAAGAGTTAGGTTCATTTCCTCAAAAGATTATACGGGAACTAAGTATTCCCAAAAGTTAAAATGTTTTCACATTTAAACAAGAGAGGAAACCCCGATTTCCAAGAGAACTTTTAAGCTAAGTTTTGAGTAATTACCTAAAATCACAGAAAGTATTTTGTTTTGAAACATAGGAGCTGACTATATTTTGGGAGTAGTATTGAGCACCAATATGGGGTAGAAATGATCATAAATCATGTAGCCATCGTGGGTAGAAAGGATCATACTTTTTAGATCACTCCTTAGTGCTTTTTAGAATGGACTAGTTGATCCACTTAGTTGAGGCGTTCTATAGATTGGCAAATTATAAGACAGTTTTGGCAACCTGGGTGAGATGATGTATCATCACATTAGCTCATGGTGATGGTTGTTAGTTAAAGAAACTCCCATAGAATTATAATAATTTATTATATGAGTAAATTGAATTGTTATCATTGTCTAAATGCTTTATATAAACTGCACCTTTACTCTTGTTTTATTTTGCATTTGAGTTGATTATTCATGAGTTGAGTAAAGCCAAGGTAAGTGTTCTTTCTAGATTCATTTCAAGCTTATGTCCTGTTTAGTTTTCCCCTCGCATGCTCATACATTCAATGTACTGATGTCAGTTGACATGCATCTTATTATGATGCAGATGCAAATAACCGGGATCAGTATCTAGAGCTTCGTTGATCCAGCTGAGCATCTCAGAGTTTGTTGGTGAGCCTCCTTGCTTTCTAGAGGATTCCCTATTTATTGCTTTAGTAGTTTTCAAATGTTAGGATGATCGGGGGTCTTGTCCCGACATCCCTCGTAGTTTAGAGGCTTCATAGACGGTTAGTAGTTCATTTGTCTTTACATCGTTATTTCATATGACTGACTTGAGTTGCCATTTTCGCTATGATCAGTTGAGTAAAGTTGCATTGAATCTTTGTATTTATGCTTTAAGTCTTCCGCTGAGTAGTTAGCCAGGCCAAGGGTTCGCTTGGGGTGAGCAATGGTTCTCGAGTGCCAACCATATCCAGGGTGTAGGCTCAGGGCGTGACATTTAACATTTCATATAAAAATATCAATCAGTAGTATTCTACAAAAGTGTGAAAACAAGTTAATTAAAATTAACAAGTAAGTTATTTGAAAATTCTTTCACCTTAATATATACAACCATCTCGCCAACGATTAACAAGCAAAAAGAAATTTTTAAAAAAAATAGACAATGAAGAAAAAATGACTGTGTATATAAATTTTCTTATTTCGTTGAATTTTGTAAATTACTCTATCATAGTATAATGCTCATGAAAATATATAGATATATGATAAACTACCTCAAATTCTGAATATGGGGGATCATAAGGAAACTAGAATGCTCTTTCCTATGGAGTAACACCTCCATAACTTTCATGCTAGTCAATGAAATAAGGCACCAAAAATTGTAAGTGTATTTAGTGACAATTATTTTCACAATGTATTCACAAATCGCTATATAGTTTTGAGTTTCACTATTGAAATATCTTCTAAAACACAATTTAACCTTTTATAGATCTAAAGTCGATCATTTGTATTCTACAAATATGTAAGAAATAACAAAAATAAATATTATCCAACATCATTATTTAGCAATCTTTTTCCCTCAACATATACAATCATCCAGAGTAATTAACTGAGGGAGGGAAAGTGGATATAATAAACAGATAATGAAGAGACAATAATAGTGTGTATAAATTATCTTAATTTTCTTTAACTCTATCAATTTTATTTTCAAAGTATAATACACCATGATAAAAAATAGGTATATGAAAAACTATCTCAAGTTTA